GCTCCCGACCAAGACACGGTAACATGTCCTGGCAGCGCGGGAGCCCTCGGCTGCAATGAACTTTGGAGCGAGGCTCTGGGCCAGCTGTGGAGTCAGGATGCTGCCCCAGCCCTGGCGACTCTTCTCCCGGGCCGCAGAGGACGCGGCGCTGCAAAGGATCCGCAAGGTCTTGTGCGTGGCCGAGAAGAACGATGCTGCCAAAGGAATCGCGGATCTTCTCTCCAACAGCAGGATGCGGCGGGTAGGAGCATATCCATTGCTCAGCTCCCTGCTGCTGGCTGCTGCTCCTGCAGATCCTGCTGGGCTGTCGGGACGTGGTCAGCTCGTCAATGTGGGTCCCGCTGTGGTGCAGCTCAGGCCTGGTCTCAGGACTCACATGCAGCCCTGACTTGTGCTGCACAACCTGGCAGGGCCATTTCAAACAAATTCAGTGCCATCTCACGTGCCCAAATGTATTCTAGAAATGTTGGACTCCTTTTTCTGTCACCGAATCCTTGTTAGAGTTTAGCTCCTCAGTGTCCCTCTCTGCCTTCTCTAGGCATTGAGCTCATCTGTGGCAGCTGCCTGTGGTTTTCCTGGCTTTGCAGTGTATGTAGAAGACATTAGGAACTGAAACCACTTGCTGACACGCATTTTCTAGTCAAAAAACACTGCTTCTGCAGCGTCAGCAAGTGTCAGAGGGTTAGGGAAGTGCACATAACAAGACAGAGGTGATCTGTGGTCTGGGGAAGAGTTCAAACCTCTCATCTCTCTGTTGCTGCTTTGTTCTGGGACCGCTGACAGTTTGCATAATTACTTGGTATTTCAGTTTTCCTTACGCCTAATGCCTGTTGGTAGGGTGCTTAGAAGAGCTGCTGTTTCTGGGTCAGAATTGCGTTAGGAATGCGTGGTGTTACTGAGAACCTGAGCACTGGAGGCTCAGTCAGTGCAGGTGTGGGCACACTTCCATGGAAGCGAACGCAAATATTGCTGTCCAGCCTGGAAACTTCCACAAATCTCCATCAGGGCACAGGTCATCTTGGGGACCCTGTGCTGACACCCTAGTTGTGCTGTGCAGCAGGACACTAGATTGCTGGGAACAGGGAATGTTTGTCTTTGCTAATGGCAACTCTGTTAAAACAAATCACCGCTTTTCCCTCCTGTCTGTCTGTCTGCACCATCCGTGGAGTGATGATCGTGGCTTCCCCTGGGGCTGGTGTTGAAATACAGTTTCAGTGGGCAGTGCCATTTCCCTGTCTCTACCAATGATACGGGCAACTTTCTTTCACCCTAACTTGCCTCTGCATTTCAGCTACAACACSCAGGTTCCTCATTCCCTGTACATCTGTTTGTCCTGTCATTACASTATGTATGAACTGAGATGAGAAGCGTTTGCTTTCTGCTGGCAGCCTGAAACTTAGCAACTTCCATTTTTTTCTTCTAGAGAGAAGGTTTTTCCAAGTTCAACAAGATCTACGAGTATGACTACCACATGTTTGGCCAGGTAGAGGTTTCTTTCCTACCCCTTCCAAATTAGGGAAATGAAAAATACTCCTGTTCAAAAGCCATTTATCAGAATTTATGAAATGCCTATCCAGGGATGGGGACACTTGCCCAAAGATGTACAAAGGAGTCAAATGTTCTTTTGGCTCAACTACTGACCTGTTGTGTTGCCTTAAATCTTTCAACCTTCCATTCTTCTATTTTCCATCTGTCAGAAGACATTTGGTTATTGGGAACTGGGAGCTTTCTACACAGGTTCCGGGTAAGGAGGTGGGTTCAGCTACTTGTGGAGAGAAAATGACAATAGCAGAGGAGGGAGCTGTGACTATTGTGTGTGAATTAAGAACTGCATCAAGGCTGCAGGTTCTGGGCAGTGTTTAGCAAATGATAGACACTAATCACGCTGCTCTGTCTTTTGCAGAACGTTACTATGGTGATGACATCCGTGTCAGGACATTTACTGGCCCATGATTTTAAGCTGCCTTTTCGCAAATGGTGAGTACTCAGTACCCTGCCACGGGAGGAAGGGTGACAACAGTTTTGTCAATGAAAACAGAGAATACCTCAGGTGCAGTAGTAAAGTCCTGCAGCAGGAAGGGACTCTGGGCGCATCAAGTAGCCAGACAGGATGATAACCATTACATTCCAGATAGGATAATTAAAATATTGTACCAAATGACTATTTTCAGAGCGTTCAAAAGAAAACAAACCCAAGTTAAAACAATGACTAAAGTACTCTAAGGGAGCTCCCTGTAAATATACCACCAGTTCCAGTAGTTGGATTGGCATTTTTGTGTTGTGCTCAACTGACAGACAGAACTGTCTTGAGAAAAAGAATTTTAATCTGCCTTGGCTCAGTTTTGTTTTTTTCTTTACTTGAAATGCGAGAAGTTTATTGTTCCAGCTTGCCTTCTGATTCTATCTTTTCTGTGGTAACATTTTGTTTGTTGTTTCAGTAAGCGTAATTCAGTGTTTCACATGAGCTTGGAAGTTGCCTAGGACAAAGTCCATTGATGTGTTTACCCTTCCAATACCTGAGCAGCACTTCCTTATAAGAGAGCACCAATTAGTCTCTTGCGATATAAGTTTTAGTTTTTGTTTGTTATGAACACTGTGTATCTTCTGTTTACCAGGCATAGCTGCAACCCCCTAGCACTTTTTGATGCTGAAATTGAGAAGTATTGTCCTGAAAATTATGTGGATATTAAGGTATGTGTTTGCAAGCGTTTTTTAGAAACTCTGAGTTCAGAGATTGCTTCCACAAATATTGTCTCAGACAGAGGCAGGATCATAACATGGTCCTTCTAAGCCTCTTAAGATTTAGAAAACTCTTCCTGTGGTTTGTAGGACTTCATATGCTCTTCATCTGTGACATTGAAAGTCTCCCACTCATGCATAATTCGAGCAGTAAAGGCACAAATACTTTGTTAGCAGTAAAATATTTTTTTCTAACTGGTAATTTTYTTGATTTTTACAAAAAAGGGTGCTTCCAGAAAACAAATTCTGTGGTACAATCCGATCCAAGTCGTGTTTTTTAACAAAGAAGTAGATGTAAATAAATGACTCAGTCCTTTTGAAAGCTGCCTAATCTCATGAGGGACAGAATTACAAAACATTATTGCAACAATCCATCTCTATGGATACATGTTGGATTTTATGTTCTGCTAGTGAGTCATTTTAGACGGAARTGACAAAGCAGGGGGTCTGTCATGTCTCATTCTGTACTGTTTTCTCCTCTCAGAGGACCCTCGAACGAGAAGTCCAGCAATGCCAAGCTCTGGTAATCTGGACCGATTGTGATCGAGAAGGAGAGAATATCGGTTTTGAAATCATTCACGTCTGCAAAGCTGGTGTGTAGACTGTCTTCTGTATCAATCTGATTTCCATTAAAATGCTGATTTAATAGGTAGCTGCTCAGAGGGCTAATAACATATATGGAGAATAATCTTCTCCATGTCCAGGTTAAATACATCGACTGTAGAATTGGGTACACTAGAAAGACATTCACCTATTGGAAAGTTATGGAATAGGTCAACAATACACTCTTTTTAAGACAGCTGCTTATTAATAACTCCTTTCCGTTGTCATTTGAGTCACTTGATTTCTCTTTGTCCCACAGTAAAGCCAAACCTCCGGGTTTTCCGAGCCCGTTTCTCCGAGATTACGCTCCATGCAGTCAGATCAGCCTGTGAGAATCTCACCCAGCCAGATCAGAAAACGAGCGATGCTGTTGATGTGAGGCAGGAGCTGGACCTCAGGATAGGTATGTAGACACCCCTTGAAGGTCAAAAGAGGTTGCTAGGCCCGAGCTGCTGCCTACCTCTTCTGCAGGGAAGCRAGCAAGAGCGTGGTAGGCAGCCAGCACCAGCTTTACCAGTGTACACCTCATTATCTTTAAATACCTGCACTTGCTTGGACTGCTGTGTAAATTAGAGAGCAGGGYGTTATGGTCTGCTTGGCTTCAACTGCATTGAATTCACATTTTTAATGCCCAGCAGTATCTGCAACTGTATCCCCAATGCAAGACAGAAATGCCTAAACTCCAGTATTGTAAATCTGGTCTTTTTTTTTCTCTTAAGTTCTGCAATTTTGTTTTCAGAGGGTGATTCTGTTCTGCTTTTTAATTACTCAATTCTAACATGCTCTTTTTTCCCCTCAGGTGCTGCCTTCACTAGATTCCAGACACTGAGGCTCCGGAAAATTTTTCCTGATGTTCTAGCAGATCAGCTCATCAGCTATGGTAGCTGCCAGTTCCCAACACTAGGGTTTGTAGTCGAACGCTTTAAAGCCATCCAGGCCTTCGTTCCTGAAGCCTTCTACAAAATCAAAGGTACGTTGGGAGGAAGCAAGTGCTCAGCTCCATCTTGCAGTTTTTAGTGCGTTTGCAAAGAAAATGAAGCTTAATATTTAGTATAACATATGAATTGGATGAATAGTACCAGGACAATGAATAAACACTGTACCAGAGGGGATTTCCTCTTCTTTTGCCGTGATCATTCAATAGAATTGGAAAGGTTCCCCAAAAGTTTGGCCTCGTTACTTTTGCTGTCTTTGAACTGTGATTTTTACTCTATGATTTATTTAAAACAGATCCCTCTGATCTGTTTTCAACTCAGTGACACACGAACATGAGGACAACACTGTGGTCTTCAACTGGAAGAGGAATCGACTCTTTAATCACACGGCTTGCCTGGTCCTCTACCACATGTGTATGGAGGTAGGAGAGTTTATAAACAGTACAGTCCAACACTGACCAAACATTTCCACCATCTTTTTCACTTGAGTTCTTTTAAAGAACAGCCCTTTTACAATTCCTCAAGGAGATTTTATATTTTCCTCACTCTGTGTTTAGAATCCTGTAGCAACTGTTGTTGAGGTTATAAGTAAGCCAAAGAGCAAATGGAGACCTCTGCCTCTGGACACTGTGGTATGTGTGACACAAGAATACTAAAGAGAACTATGCAAAATGAGCTTTTAGTGCATGTTTTACTCACCTTAGAATTATGCCACAAACGCCTTTTTTTTTTTTCTGGCTCTTCTCAACACAGGAACTTGAGAAATTGGCTTCCCGTAAACTGAAAATAAATGCTAAAGAAACCATGAGATTAGCAGAAAAACTCTACACTCAAGGGTAAGAAAGATAAATTTGGGTGTGCTGGCCTGATAAACTAAATTCCTTAAAAATAAGGTCTTTAATCCAAAATGGAGTGCCTGGGAGCTCTTCTTAAATTCCACCTTTGCCTTTCTTCTGAAGGTTCATAAGCTATCCCCGAACGGAGACCAACATTTTCCCCAAGGAGCTCAACCTCTCTGTCCTGGTACAACAGCAGACCCAGGACCCAAACTGGGGAGCATTTGCACAGAGGATTTTGGAACAGGGTGGGCCAACCCCTCGAAGTGGAACCAAATCAGACCAGGCTCACCCTCCCATTCATCCTACCAAATACACTGCTAACCTGCACGTGAGTKTAATAAAGGCAGAGATAACTTGGTAGTTTGTATTGCTCAATATATAAAGGTAGGAGTCTTAAATATGGTCATTAGAATTGTATCCTGGACCTGACATTCTCTTTATTATCTCTTGATGTCCTAAATAACCCCAGAGGAGACTCTTAACCCTCTTCTACTGTTTGATATTAGGGGAATGAGCAGAGACTGTACGAATTCATCGTGCGCCATTTCTTGGCTTGCTGCTCGCAAGATGCTAAAGGACAGGAAACAACCGTGGAGATTGACATTGCTAATGAACGATTCATCGCTCAAGGACTAATGATCTTGGCCCGAAATTATCTGGAGGTGTATCCTTATGAGAAGTGGAGTGATAAGGTAAACCTAGATATCATAGATGGGAGAGGTTAAAGTACTTGGAGTTTAAATTTGCCCTTGGTTGTACTAATGCAAAAGCCTTATTGCCAAATCTGGATCCCTCAGCACAATATCCTTGACAATTCTTGGCCCCACTAGCTTTCCTTCAGAGTCATCTCTTTTGAAAATATGAAACTGCATATTTAGCAATTTTGCAGTTTTCCCCTTCTTAACACAACAGCAATGCTGCTTCCATGCAGGTTGGTCTGACTTACCAAGAGAAGCTGTAATTGCTCTTCTGGGGTATCTATAACAGCTCATTAATGACTAATCCTGAGGACCCTGAGGGCTATTTCATGCAGAACAGGGTGCTTCTATATTACTGTATTAGCTTGCTGTTACTGTTAGTATTATATATTTAGTGCTGTTAAGYTATAGTTTAGCTTGTACAGTACTGTTAAGGTTAGTATTTTGTCTTCAGTGACTAAAAACAGAAGGTAGTTTCACAGGGATTCTCTTTTCTTCAGGTTATCCCAGTATATCAGAAAGGATCCCGCTTCCAGCCCACCACAGTGGAGATGGTGGATGGGGAAACGAGCCCTCCCTCGCTCCTCACCGAAGCAGATCTCATTGCGCTCATGGAGAAGCACGGCATAGGTCAGCACTGGCAGTATGTCTCACGAGGGGATGAGAGACGAGGATGCTGCTGCTCCTGGCCACAAGTTCTTCCCTTCTTTTGCCCGTTTAGTGCCTTGCGTTCTGTAGCAGACACAGGGAAAAACCATCACTTGTTGGCAACTCATTCAGCTAACAACCTGGCTGCTTTCAGGGACTGATGCCACTCACGCCGAGCACATCGAGACCATTAAGCTGCGGATGTACGTGGGCCTTACTGCAGATCAGAGGTTCCTTCCAGGCCACCTGGGCATGGGGCTGGTTGAAGGTAAGGACCGTGCTTTAAGCTAGAGGACAGGTTTCTGACTCATGCCTTCATTTCATTCGCCATGTCGTATTTTCCTCAGGCTATGACTCCATGGGTTATGAGATGTCCAAGCCTGACCTTCGAGCTGAGCTGGAAGCTGACCTGAAGCTGATCTGTGAGGGGAAGAAAGACAAACTCATAGTGTTGCAGCAGCAGGTCCAGAAGTACAAGCAAGTCTTCATCGAGGCTGTGGCTAGAGCCAACAAGTGAGTCTTGTCTTTGCCCTCTTGCGTTTGCTTTGCTCTTCTGGAAGGTGTGAGCTTCTGGAGCTCAGTCTGGAGTGCAGTGGGTTCCCATAGCTGTTTCTCTGGAGATCTGTCCAGCATGTGCAGGTATTTGCAAGGGAAGGGATGGCTCGCAGCGTGACATGTAGTCATGAACAGGAGCCAGCTAACTGCCCCTCATGTTTAAACTCACTGCATTAAATTCAGAGGAGGTCAAAGGAAAGGCAACGTGCTCTGAGCTCTTTTGTGTTGCGCTCACAGCCAGTTTGTAATGGTCATCAAGCTGAGCTGAGGTACTTCTGCAGATGGCTGGGTCTCCTAGGGACTGAGGACAACAGGCATCAATCCCCTGCTTGGTTACCTTTTGTAGAGGAGACACACGGGATGCTGTGTTTTTCTGTATTTAGATTGGATGAAGCCCTGGCKCAGTATTTTGGACAAGGCACGGAAATCGCAGAGCAAGAGGAGGTCTACCCGGCAATGCCGGTTTCCGTTCGGAAGTGCCCGCAGTGCAACAATGACATGGTCCTGAAGACCAAGAGGAACGGGGGGTGAGTAGTATTCCCTGCTGCAGACAGTGGCTCTCTGTGTTGGTTTGTGTGTCGCTGGGCATTATGTACCTCTCCTCTGGGCAGTAGGGCAAACTCTACCAGCTACACAAACTTAATGGACTCAGCCAAGCCTCTCTCTCCAATACATATTTGCTCATAAAATTGTTTTGACAATTTCTGTAGAAAATCATAGCAGAGAGGAGAATGAGTCACTGACTGTCTCGACTTTGCCTCCCTCTCACTCGGTCCCTTTATCCTGTGGCAGGTTCTACCTCAGCTGCATGGGCTATCCAGCTTGTAAAACTGCAGTCTGGTTTCCTGACTTTGTGCTGGACGTAGCTAGGGATGAGAGTGTCTGCGCTGTGTGCAAACCCCACCCTGTTCACAGGTGAGTTGAACTAGTTACCTGTTAGGCAAACACAACCACTCGGACATTACCTGTTAGTTGTCAGGGCCAGAGACTTACATGGACCAGGCTGGGCAGCTGGGAGCAGCGATATCATGGCTAGGGGATGGTAAAAAGAAGGGAACAAAACAGTTTAAGTACAGAAGGAGTGAGGGAGAAAAAAGAGCTTAATAGTAATCAAGTCCAAATCAAGCTTGGTTGCTGAGAGGTTACATGAATGGGGAGACTTTTATTGCTCCTTTTCCTTTAGATTGAAGTTTAAGTTCAAGAGAGGCAGCGTCCCACCCACGATGCCCCTGGAGTTTGTTGGCTGTATCGGAGGCTGCGACGAGATGCTTCGAGAGCTCTTGGACCTGAAATACTTGCACCGGCCAGCCCAGCCCAACCCTTGCTCAGCCACCCAGCCAGCTAATCACTCGCAGGGCAACCACTCCCTTAACAGAGGGGCTGGTGGTGAAAAAAGGCACGTGAAGAGGACCACAAACCAGGCACCAGGGCAGCTGCTGTCGTTGAGCTCAACAAGGGCGCCCAGGCCGGCTCCTTCCGCGGCTCCGGATGATGGGAACAACGCAGTGACCTGCAACTGCGGGAACGAAGCAGTGCTGCTAACTGTGCGCAAAGAGGGGCCCAACCAAGGCAGGCAGTTTTACAAATGCAGCGCCAGCACCTGCAACTTCTTCCTCTGGGCTGATCAGCGGCCAGAGGACAGAGGGGACACCGCGCCGCCAGGCTCCGCGCCGCCCCGGCCCTTTGCGGGAAGGGGCCCTACCAATTTTCCAAGCCCAGGAGGAGGAGGAGGAGGAGGGGGAGGAGGAGGAGGAGGGAGAGGCTCGGAGCCCTTCGGAAGCAGCAGCTGCGATTCGGGCGGCGCTGTGTGCAGGTGTGACCAGCCCGCCGTCACGCGCACCGTGCAGAAGGACGGGCCCAACAAAGGGCGGCAGTTCCACACGTGCCCCAAGCCCAGAGACCAGCAGTGCGGCTTCTTTCAGTGGGCGGACGAGAACGTGGCGCCAGGTAAGGCTGGGCTTGGAGTGGAAAGCAAGGCTTGGAGGCTCTCCTTAAAGCTGAACAGGTATTTGTRACATGCAGTTAAAAAAAAGTTAATACTGAATAAGGCTCTCTTAGCATGACAGCTCTTCTAAGAACTCTTAATTTGTCAGACCTCAGGTTTATCTTTTAAAAGAGCTAATCAGCAGCATTATACCACTTCTTAAACATTGCTTGTAATGACCACATGTGGCTTACCTTCCTCTGCATACCAGTCGAATCCAGCGTTGTTCCACACCTCCACGGAGATCTGTGCTGCCCGTTGCAGCATCCATCACTCGTGGACAGCCTGCTACATTTCCAACAGTCTCTTGGAGATTGTCCTTCCAAAATTCAGGTGTTCATCTTAGAGAAACTGTTTGATTTGATAGAGGGTCAAAGCAGCACAAACACTTTTGGAGATCTTAAACCTTGTTCTGTCATGCCAGGAAGGCCAGCCTTCTCCTGCTGGCCTAGTTTAGGAATGCAGTGAAAATCCAAGTCTTTCTGAAGCTTTGATCATAGCTGAGAAACAGAGCACAGCTCCAGGGAAAAGGTGGTGCAAGCAAGTACTCAAAGGGCTGTTTAATCACAAAATAAGGATCTGAAAGAAAGGGCACCGACATCAAGGAATTATAAGCAAAGTACAGAGGTAGAGATGTGATCTGAGGGATCTTTAATGTTGGCTTCTTCCTTTTTAGATGCTAGTCCCTAAAGGGACAGAACTAAGTTTTCAAAAGTGGAAAAAAACCCAAAAATACAAAAAAMCACAAGTTTTCCTCCAGCATGTTCTGTTGTTTCTGCTTCGGCTGTAGAACAGAGCATGCAGCCAGAAAGATGAGTTTCTGAGTTTCCCTGTTCTGATCCTGTGTTTAGTTAGTATTGCAGGACAAAGAGGTAGCATTGCAATGAAGGCAAATCTGAAGTAAGTCTAATTTCAAGAACAGTCTGAGTGGCTGGGATGGTCAAATCCTCCATCTACCACCATTTTGAACCTAGCTTTTGTTTCTCAACTGCTTATATCAAAGATTTTTACATCTACATTGTTTCTCCTTAGGCGCTTCTGGAGATTCCTTGAATCGTTTTGGCAGCAGTGGCTCCTCACGGGAGTTTGGAAGTAAATCTAAGAGACCAAGCAGTGTCTCCTCAGCAGCCACTGCCAAGAAACCACGGACCTGTAGCATTTGCCACCAGCCTGGCCACACCAAGAAAACCTGTCCTCAAGACCACTGAGCCCCAGCCCAACAGCCCTCGAGAATTGGAAAGGTGCAGGGTTGCAAGCTGCTGTGGCAGCAACTGCTCCTGGAAGGAACTGAAGGCTGTAAGTTGATCTGTGCCCAGGGCTTTCTGGAAAGCCTGGTAGTTCCTACATACGCCAGGACAGCAAGAGTCAGACCAGCTTTGAAAGGTGGCTCCATTAATGGGGTCAGCCACGTGGTTTCAGCTGGTTTTCTACTGAGCTGATGGGGATAAGCTAAAGGTAACAAGCATTTGGAAACAGTGGGTCTGCAGGGAAAGCAGCACTGGATCTGACTGCAGCTCCTGCTGTGGCRGCTGCTTCATGCAGCCTTTCTGCACGAGCAAGAGGCAGTTCTTAGCCACTGGGACAGGCACGAGAGCTGCTCAGCTCTTCTGCATCCCTGGCTTTCCACAGAGTGGAATTTTATTACAAGTTGTCCTCCTCTTTTGAGGTTATCTGAGCAATGTCCCCCTTTCTTTTTTGTCATAGTCCAGTACCTTCCTTACCTTGGCTGTCTCCACCTGAGGAGAGCCAGGTGCAGAGAAACCAGATCTGGTGCTTGCCTGGAAAGGAAGTGCTCAGAAAGAGCCCTCATTTTAGACAGCTCCTGAATTTGGAACTGAGTTCTTCCTGAGGCATTGAGGCRTGCCTAGATGATGATGCTGGTTACTGGAAGTTATTTTGGTCAAACTAATAAGGTTATTATTAAAAATTAATTTTTTATCTTTGTTACAGTGACTCACTCCTAGCTCTGCCTTGTCACTTCTTCCTACTTAAAATAGTTGAGCTATTACTATAAAAGCATCCACCCAGATTCTGCTCTTTCCATTCACTCACTCATCGGAGTCATATAAGAGCTTTCTTGGCAGAAACTCCCCGTGGCTTTATTTAGAAGGGAGCTGCAAAAGGGTACAGGAAGGTGGATTATTAGCTGCATCTGTTGCAGTGGTGCTGTCCAGGGACAGAGACAACTGGCTGAACCCCAAACAATTTTTTTTCCCCTCTCTTCCTCACTTAGTTTAGGCTGAGCTCCTTCAGGAAGCCTCTGAAGGCTCTTCCTTCCTGTTGGGGCTTCCTTTGTACATCAGAGCAAGCAGAGCCACCAAACTCTGCTTCTGTCCTGCGCTGGAGCTCAGCATTTATCCTTTCCCACTGAGGGGGAAGTGAGTGGGAGCCCACTCTGGGGCTGCCAAAGGCGCCTCCAGCAGCTCTGCACTTTCCTCAACACCAGGCAGTTCCTGTGGGCCAGTGCCAAGGCCCAGCGAGGTCCAGCTGAAACCCTTCCCAGAGGGGAGCCTGACGGAGGGAGATCACAGTAGCCCAGGGCTCTCCAAATCCTGCGTGTGGGACAASAGCCCCTCTAACGTTGCAGCAGTTCGCACTGTCAAGCACACGTCTCTGGCATGAGCTCACAAGAACCCAATACTCCATTTTACGGTACCCTCACTCCTACTGTTAACAGCTGTAGCCTAAAAATACAGGCCCGCTGGCTAAAATAACAGGAGTAAGGAGCTTTGTAATGCAATATAGAGCCGACCAAGGCACAGCAGCAGCCTGGGCTGCAGTCTCCTAGCGGCAGCAGCAAGGCAGCACTTGCACAGCGTATAAACATTGCTGATAGCATCAGCTGTCACCAGATCTATTGGTTTCAGCTCGGGTAGTGCTCAGAGAGGGGCTGTTCATCAAACAAGGACACGAGCTCCACGTTCAGCCGCATCTCACACCCGCAGGGACCACCGGCCGCTTGACACAACAGGCGGTAGCAGGAGAAGCCCGATCGCTGCGCGGCTCTCTGCAGAGCAGGGGGTGCCCAGCAGCCCTGCACCAGGCGCCAGCCCTTATCACCAGAGCAGGGACAAAACTGAGATTTGACACCAGAGAGCCATTATACACAGTGCGGGTTTATTCTCAGCGCCAACACTGGAGGAACAAAACTGTTTTTTTTCCAGACTGGAGGAAAAGCACGGGTGTTTCCTCCTACAAATGAGACAGATAAACCACAGTAGGTGCTCACATTGAAGTCCACGGGATTTCTCCATCTCTACCAGAGTGCAAAATTGGCATAGCTCTTCCATTAAATATAATATACTCCTTAGCACTCAGCAGAACCAAAGTCTGTTAGCAGCCACTCAAAAGAAAACGAAGCACACACGCACAGGCAGACATACCTTCTTAACAAAAAGCAGCATAAACCAGGTCAGTTCTTGCAATTCTTCTGCTCAGAGAACCATTCCTATCTTACCCCCTGCCCCACAGGATGAGGCACCAGAGGAACACGATGATTTTTAGACAGCAGCAATCCACACATCAGAACGGTCACAACTGCAAGGGGGCTTGGCTGGAGAGCAGCGAGGATCTGCCCGGAGGCCCTGGGGGTGACAGCSCGGCCCCCTGCCCAGGAGGTGGCACAGAGCCGCGCGGCAGCCCCGAGGCAAGCGGAGTCTCCCCGCAGTCGGCAGCGCTTTCCCTGCCACCCTGCTGCAAAAGCCGGTGTTGTGGCACTCGCAGCAAGGGTATTTTGGGACACGGGACTTGAAGCTATGGCACCACAGCCAAAAACAAAGTCTCTTCATTAGGACAGAGCTGATATTGGCAGAACAAGTAGGGCTGAGCTCGCCCCTTTTGGCAGCGGGAAGGGCTTCCAAATAAAGCCCCATCCAATTTGCTCAACCTTCGGCTTGGCAGCGTCTCGGCCTGCAGAGTGGGCCCGTGGACGGGGCCAAGCCCAGCACGGTGCCACTGAGCCCGGCGCTGTCCACGGGCATCACACAGCCCCGGTGCTGCCCACGGGCACCACACAGCCCCGGTGCTGCGGGAGCYGCTCCCCTCCACGTCACCACCAAGAACCAGGGCAGCTTCAGCCCCCGCAGACCTTGGCTTCCCTGGCCGGGGAGGCCTCGCAGCCACAGGGGCTCCACCAGGAGCTGCGCAGAGCCCCAGCTTGCTTCCYGCAGCTCCCAGCACCCAGTGGATGGACTCACCTTTAGCTACTAGAMGCGTAGGCTGCATTTGACCCGAGTAAGGCAGAACCTCACAGTGAAAGTCTCCTCATGCCATCACCCGTGTCTTTTCAGGCACATTTTATTCAGACAGGCAATACTTTTGCTCATAAAGTGCAAGAACTCGGCCTCTYGCTGACTAGACAACTAGAAACATGGCAACCCTCACAGCAGGGAGCAGCAGACACGAGTGGCAGCTTTCGCTCGGGAGCTCCCAACGCACCCGTCATTTCTCCTTCAGCAGGAGCTCTGGCTCCGACACAGCCCTGTAGAGCAGGAATCCCATCTCATCGATCTCCTCCTCCAGCAGCCCGCAGAAGAGGTTGACTTTGTGGTTGAAATAGGAAGGCAGGACCCCTATCTCCAGGTAGCCCACCAGCTCTTGGAGCACCTGCTGGAACCTGGCAGCAAGGTTCTCCTGCGCCCAGTCCGCGCCGAGGTGGAGCACGACGTGCGTCAAGGGGCTGCCGCTCAGCTTGCGCAGCGACGGGTGGCTCTCGCAGAGCCCGTTGAGGATGCGGAGGCAGCTCTGCCTCGCCCCGCAGTCGCCCGCGTCCAGCTCCTTCACCCGCGACACCTCTGCCCTGTAAAAGCTCTCCAGCCAGAGGTTTTCCACCAGCCCTTCCGGAGGAGCGGCCAGAAGAACCTTGTCATCCATTTCCACCACTGGGAAAAGGGTCACACTGAGCTCCACCTGCTCGTGTTTAACTTCCAGCTTCAGCTCCTCGGAGGCTACACCGGGCCGGATGATGCTCCCCAGCAGGCTGCCTATGGCCGGCCAGTTGACAGAGGCCACCAGCATCTTGTGGAGCATCTCATTGAGCGCGTTGGAGGAGAGGTACCTGCCCACAATGAACCTGTCCCAGGGGCTGCGCCCGCGAGGGAAGTACTCCAGACCTGTCCTCTTGATCATCCAGTACCGGGGATTCCTCACGACAGTCTCCTCCCCCGGGATGAGGCTCCAGAGCGCGGGATCAAGCACCACGGGCAGCATGAAGTCGACACGGTCGGCAGCGAGAGCCCCGAGGCCGTCGAGCAAGGGGCCGCTGAGGAAGAGGCTGCCGAAGGGCAGCTCCGGGCACTTGCCCCGCAGGAAGCTCTGCAGTTCYGCGCAGATGCCCGCGGCCAGCTGCTGCGCCAGGGCCGCCCGCTCCTCGGCCACGGCCGCGCGGCTGCTGTAGTGCAGGAGCAGCCGCTCCTGCAGCGTGAGGCAGCGCCCAGCGCTGGATTCCACCCGAGGAGTCTCCGCAGGAGCGGAGCAGTCCCTGGGCTCTGTGGAAAGGGGATTCAGAGGAAAATACAGTCAGCAGGAGCCGAATGAGAGGATCACCTGCAACGCGGAGCAGCAGCTTCTCCTGCCACATCCACGGGGATGGCTCAAACTGACCTTCAAACCACCCAGGGCCCATCGTGACCTCCTGGCGAGAGAGGGATAAAGCAGCCCAGTCACAACAGCCAGAAAGGGACTAAGTCCCGGGGGCCTTGCAAGCCTCAGCCCCAGCTTTTGTCCCCGYCACACTCAGCTAGAGCCTGGTGGCCCCAACGCCGAGTCCCACGAACCACCCAGAGGGCTCCTGCGAGTCTGGTACCTCAGGACCTTGCAGCGCATGCTTCCTGCTAGCAAAAAAAGCTGGTTTTGACTCCCCAGCCTAAGGCAGCATTTCTCTAGGGCGATTCAAGAGCACGTGCCCCTCTCCAGACCGAGCTGACCCCAAAACAAGCAGAGCAGATGGTGCTGGGGCAGCATCAGAGCCCAGGCAGCCTCCTGCCACGGGCCRCCACCGGCCGCGTCATCCCCGCAGGCATTGCCTAAAAAGGGGCCGCACTCGGGAGCCTCCCGCCAGGACAGGCTCCAGGGGCTCCGCCTAAGGGATACGGAGCTAAAAATACCCCGGGCTCGCCGGGAGCGGAGCCGGGAGGCCGGCCGTGCCCCGAGCCAGCGCCACGAGCCTCACCCGGCGCCGGCGGCCCCGCGGGCGAGGGCAGGGGCTGGCTGAGGTCCTGGCGCCGCTGCTTCCTCGGCGGGTCTGGCGCCGTCTTGATGAGGGTCAGGTCGGGCCAGGCGTCCCGCAGGCCCCCGCCGTCCGCCTTGGCGTCGCCCTCGTCGCGGGGGCTCGTGGCGCGGTCGATGAGCTGCGGGACAGAGCGCGTGGGGATGCGCCGGCGGAGCCGCGCGGACACCGGGAGCGTCCCTGGAGCGGGGACGGGCCCGGACACGGCCCCTGCCTTGGTCGGGGGTGTCCCTACCGCCAGGGAAAAGGGATGGAGCAGGACCCTGGACGGGAAAAGCAGCGCACACGAGTATC